GAGGAGGGCAGCTCTCTGGGATCGTCCCATCTGAATGATCCTGTCCAGACCGTGTGTGACGTCACGAGCCGCGGTTCTGCCCACTTTCTCAAACACACACAACCACAGGCCCAAATAAGCTCTAAATGCAGCTTGGCCCTCTCCATTGCGATATATTATAGGAGCTTTAGAGTAAGAACCACAGAGCGTAAGTATAGCGAGTTGAGTTTAGCCAGGTCTGGCCTTGGAAACTCTTAAGTTATTGTCAATAAAGCTATATTGTATCACATTTATCTTTTTTTTTTCATTGTTAAATCAAGTTTGCTTGCTCTTTCCAGATTTGTGATCCAAAAGAGATTCTTCCCTTGTGTATCAGTATATCTCTCACACTTACTTTTATCACAAACATTTGGATCACGCTTTGGAGAAAGAAGGTAGTGATGGGTTAGTGTCAGTCCTGTGTATGAGCCACTTCAACAGGTTGCATTCCTGTTCTTGAATTATATTTGGAGGGCAGGTGTTCTATGGGAAAGAAGCCATAGAAATGTATTCCCAGATCAATCAGAATGAGTGATTAGATTCACAAGCCCGCCAAATTATTCTCTTGTCTGAAAGTCTGTTCTCCTGGACAACATCTTGCATGATATTTTTTTTAAAACATTGTCAGCACTTCTAGACACCTTGTATGAGGAAATATCTAAACCATTGTTGATATGTGCTGACGAAGAAGATGCAGAACTTTATGATAATTGTTGTTCTATGTGGATTGGCCCAGAAATGACAAATTACTTATCTCTTAAATACAAATATACCAGTTACCAGTAAATACACATCAGCTGCATCACCTCCTCCACTATACCAAACTATTGCCATGATGTGGACTTTGTGATTATTTTGACCTGGTTTTATTTTACTGTATTTATGTTTGAGTTTGCTTCCTGTTTCCTGTTGATGTAATGCCCCGCCCTAATGTGTTCCCTGTGTCTCCCTGTGTGTATTTATACCCTGTGCCTTTACCCACTTGTTGTCCGTCCATTAGCCATATGTCTGTTTTGAGTTCTGAATTTTTACACTTTATTTTCAGTCCTGCATTTTGGGTTCCTTTTTCATTTCACCACGTGACAACTATAGGCTCTGTGGAATATATTGGAGTATATTTATATAGTGCATTTCACAGACCAAGGTCACACAAAGCGCTGTACAATGTTTAGAGTTCAGATATTGTTCCAATCATTCCACACACGGAGATGACGGAAGCGAGTCGCCGAACACACTGCCGCATCAGCCCCAATCAACACCATCCATTCACTCTCTCATCTACATTCAAACCTATTGTGCATGTTGTTTGTGGTAGGGGAAACCGGAGCACCCGGAGGAAACCTACGCAGACACGGGGAGAACATGCAAACTCCACTCAGAAAGACCCTGTTCCGACCGGGATTCGAACCCGGGACCTTCTTGCTGAGAAGCGAGCGTGCTAACCATTCAGCCACCGTGCCGCCTGTGTGACAATTTTGTGATGTCACATGAAGACAATCTATTCCGAGTACCGGTATTTACTCGCTTACAGTCAACACACACACACAAAAATCCCCCAAGTTTTTTAGTGTACTGCATGTGTTCCATCATTTGTCAAAATCCTTCATTATATGAGAGGAACATCTTGGTATTTCCATTGGCTGGGGCTCAATATTAAGAATTCTCACAAAATTGTGGTCAGTAATTTTGGCTCAAACTATAAAATACATTATATCAAACATCTGCAGTGTCACGTAATGGTCCGGGAGATGCTCGGAGGAATGTCCAGGCAGCGGTCAAACTAAAAAATCAAACCGCGTATGTTTCGAACTTCCAACCCGGTTCTCATCAGGGTAATTATCCGCAAAACTGCACGTAAACCCAAGCACACATGTGAAACTATGTAAAAATCACTTCATGGGGGAGATTGATCAGTCGCTCTCCAGTAAAAGGGCAATTTGAGATCCACATGAGAAAAACCATTCAAACAAACGATTATATTTCTAGAACAAACTGTGAAGAGGAGGTATTGAAGCAGAGCCAAAGCTTACAGTGGTTTAAAAATATATCCTTTCTCTATGGTGCATGAGGAGCCTGCGGTGAGTGCTTAATTGTGTGTGCAATTCTAAATCACAGCTTTATCGAAACCACAACCGAAAGAGAGAGGATAAATATTTAGACAGTCACCCGGCGAGAGAGAGGAGAGACGAGAGGGCAGAGGCAGAGGCAGGTGTGGGTCCGGGGCCTGCCAACAATCCAACAGAAGCAGAGACTGAGGGCCCTGCACCTGTGGATTAAGTTACGCTTTATCACAGCACCTGCGAAAGTTATTATCATTTTCTATATTTCTAATCATTTACATTCTGCATGACCAATCAGATTTCAATCAGTTTCAGTTTTTTATGCATATTTTGAAGTTTTCAGACCACAAAATTACACTGATAGAAAGGTGGTTATTTGCAGTAAGGTTTTAGTTACAGCTGTGCTTGAAATACAGACGTTTCATTGTTTGGGCCATGTTTTTGGAGATTAACAGAGAACAAAAATAGAAAAAACTGCGTTCACTTATTGTTAGTGGTTGTGTGAAGCCATTTAGTGACAAGCTAGTTTTCTATTTTCACATTATCTATCAATATAATTCAAATGGAAAGTTGATGGAGTCCCAGGAGGCTTTTTGTCGACAAGAATGTGCAGATTTATCTCAAAAAGGATAAAGAGCCACGTCCACAACGACCACAACAGACTCTAAGTCATAAATATTGAAGAGGAAATACATGCTTTGAGAAGCAGGGGATGGGGACTTCTAATCAGGATCAAAGAGAGTAGTTTCTGTTGTCATGATTATATTTGGGAAGAGAAAAGGCGTTCACATCACAGCAACAATGACTGAAATCTCTCCGAAATAGGTTTCTTTCCTGGGTGTGAAAACTTTTAAGCACTACATTGTCCCGGTATGATACACAATTAATAATGATCACCTACCACTTCTTTAGCTTAATTCCAAGATGTTGTCCTGGCTGTAATGTTACTAGAACTCCATAGCAAGCCCAATCATTCATTTAAAACACCACAAGTTGTGCATTTTACTTGGGTATTTTAACTTTTTATTTCTTTATCCGTGTGTTGCCTGTTGAAAAGTAGAAGTGCCTGTAAACACACTGCGGTTTATTGAAAGTTCAAATTTGTGAAGACCTGGTGCTTTTGGTCTGCGCTTGTAAAAACAAATACATACAAAAAAATCTTCCTATAAGTTTGATATTATGCAAATCTGTAAAAACTGACATCACCATTTTTTAAATGAAATCTTTAGCATTAGTTTACCCTCTACCTCATTTACCCGCGATAATATCTTTAATAATCCTAAATGCATTGATTCATGACCTTCAGCCGCTTCCGTTTTAAGTCCTCATAGAAAACCGTGAGAATAAATGTTGGTGGTTTTTATGATCACATTTCAGAAATAATTTAGTTTTGATTTAGACCACACGTATGGTAAACCTTTAGGATTTCAGATTCATGCAGCTCAAATCTGGAACAGTCTTCTTGAAAATGTGAGAGAGGCTTCTTCTCTGATAATGTTCAAATCCAACTCAGCAATTTCATCTTTACTATTTTTAATGTTCTGCGATTATTTATGATTTGAATGCCTTGTGGTTGTTTCTTTTTTATTCTGTTTAGCACTTTGACTTGCCTTGTGTATGAATTGTGCTTTACAAAAAAACTTGCCTGAACCTAAATCATACCCGACGTATTGAAAGGAAAATAAATAAAATGCATGAATGTTTATGTGCTGGTTTTATATGATATTTATTGAAATAAAGTAGAGCATTGAGCCAATTTGTAAAAAGTAACAACATATCAGCTATATTAACACATTTTCAAACCTCAACTCCACGGAAAGCTTATAAATACATAATGTTGGATTGGAGACACGTAATGCCACAGTCTATGGACCATCACCACAGAGAGAGTGAGCAGAGAGGAAAGAGCAAAGAGGTATCGAACCTAAACATGGTGCACGTATTAAAACCGACAAACCAAACGGAAAGAGTGTGTTTTGATAAAAGTAAGGTGCATTTCCCTTTACAAAAGACAGTGAAAGAGCCAGGAACGACTAACATACAAAGTGACTTTCAAAACAACAGCTTGAACTAAACACCAAGAAACTGTAACAGAGAAGGTGGCATGAAGTTGAAGTCTGGTTAAAAAAATAAATACATTTTACTGATTGGATAGACATACTATATACAGAGAGAATGGATTAAGTCACCACTACAACATTGCCCATATATACTTGAAACCATGTATGTATTGTAAAATAATGTTAGATGGATAATTGCTGTTAATATGGAAAAGATGTATGCCATTGCAAAGATAATATTACTCTCGGATAACACATACAGACAGGTATAGGCCTGTCTAAAAGTGCATAATGGTTGAGGGATTGTTGCAGCACCTGGGGAATATTAAGGCATTTGTACAGCTTAATAAAAAAGACCCAATCCCCGATGTTAGCCCGCTGTGGAGTAGCAGGTGTAGGCCAAAGAACTGTGGACCACCAGTGTAACTTACTCGACATGCAGTAAGGTCATTGAGGAGACTGTGTACGGAATTGTCTGGGTCAGAGAAACATCCATACGCACAGGTCTCCTCTTCAGACAAGCCTCAAACTCATTCTACAACATTGGAGAAGGAAGTCCAATTCAGTCCATTTCAAAATCCAAATTTAACAAAAAGCTTGAGGGTGGCAGGGCAGGGAGCTCTTCCAACAGTTTTTCAGGCACTTAAGTGAGTATAAAACTGGCTGTTGACGTCTGGGACAAAATAAAATCTCAAAATAAATATTTCTCAGTTTTTGATTTGTTGTAAAAAAAAAAAAGTCATGTCTTTTCACAAAGGCATAATTGTTTAACTCTATAAATATAATTTATATAGTTTCTTTCTTTCATTCTTTGAACTTCTTTGTTCCCCACACTGGTCTTGGCACAGAACAGCTCCGTTCGTTACTTGCAAACAAACTGGTCCACGATTTTGGTGCAGCGCTTGCACTTGACGTAGCAGCACCAGTGGAACTTACAGTGGCAGCGCTCCACTATCTGAGCTTTGTACTGGTCGTAGCCGCGGCCGCAGCACATGAGCTCGCAGCCGTCCATGCCCTCGGACGTCTTGTTGCACAGGCGCCCCACTGTGCCCAGCGAGCCCGTGCTCTGGTTCTTCAGGCAGTAGTCTGGGCTGGACTCCAGGTACACCAGGTCGTGGTTGGTCGGAGCGTTGAACTTGCTGTTGAGCTGGACCAGTTTGCCTCGAGTGTTGAGCTTCATGGCAGCAGCGCTGTCGTACTTCTCCTTCAGAGCATCCCCCACCTTCCGGAAGTCTGCCAGCTGCAGCCAGCAGGTCTTCAGGCTGCAGGAGCCGGACACACCGTGGCACTTACAGGAGACATGCGCCAGGTCCGACACCGTCTGCACCAGGACAAAACAGGGGGGCGCACATTTCAAAATGATTGTAATTATAAACATTTAAATGCGCATACAATTTCATAGAATAAAGGGACGGCACAAGACTAACATTAAAATATTAAATCAGTTTGACTCAGTTATGGCGAGTTGCTACTATTAGCAGTGAAGGAATGAATTGATTGCAACTGAATGAGTTGCACATGATTTGAAACATGGATATGGCGTATTCATGTATTCCTAATTTATAATGTGTGACATACAAACACTGGACCTGAGTAAGTGTTTGATAATAATATGATCTCAACCCGCAGTGTCTCCGTGCACTTGTCTCCATATTTTCTCAGTTAACCCAAACATGGTCCAGACATTTGTCTTTTTCCTGGCTGGCAGCAGATATCTGGCTTTTCACACATGTGAGGTGGTTTCAAGATGTTTGGAGAGTGATGGGCTGCTTTGTGTGATCTGACAGCGCAAAGATAAAAGTGTGTAGTAATGAGAGCAGACAGAGCTGTTACACAGATCATCAGCCAGATTCTTCTGTGAGAACTGCACTTTCTCACTCCAAACCTCCACACGCCGCTTGACTGCAGCCGCCACTTTGTTCACAAATGTTCAGCCTCAGTGAGACATGACCTCTTCTTTGTCACATTACAAGTACATAGGAACGAGATCGTGCCGACTTTTGGACATAACAGTTGTGAACATCAAAGAGAACGTCATGGACTCACCCGTCGGCCAGCTTCATTATTGTGCAGGTTCATCATCTGCCGCGCGCTGTCGTACGAGCCTTTGGGGTAGCTCTTCTCGCGCTCACGTGCGTCCACAAACTCCTTGGAGAACCTGTATCCGTAGTTGAGGTTGTCGCCACAGCCGCCCCACAGCCAGTCGCGGGGCAGGTCTTTGGGGCGCGCCGCTCGACTGCAGCCACAGCTGGACAGCTCTCCCTCTCTGCAGGCTCGGCTCACGGCGTTCACCACACCGGCCGCACTGATGGCGTAGGTGAAGGCCGTCTCTCTGCTCGCTGTCAGGGACATCACAAACATGTTGGCTAAATCAGAAAACACATCTTCAAAACAGGCTTTAGGATAAGATAAGATAAACTTGGGCCGGAATGATCCAAGTGATGGTTAAATAAAGTTCATTCACTTTTGCGTGACTCCATGGAAATAAGAGGTAATGGGAAGTTTGGACATAGATAGTTTTTCTTCTGCATATAAACATACAGTGGAATATTATAGCCAAAAGAAACACATTTCCATGGAGTCAAGCAGGACAAGGTCTGGTTTGTGTGAGGAACCAGAAGAGGCTGAACAAAAACAACCAAAAACACATTTTTGTTCTAGTTCTTTTTGTCTGAAAAGTTAAAAAGGTGGATTTTATATATTGGATGAATTAAATCCCCTTTGTATCAAGTTTTGAAATGTCTGCGTTTGGATCTATTTTTCCATTTGATGTTTGTTCTTTTAAACTGAGGCCACATAAGTGTCCTTTTCCTTTAAGAATCAGCAGACAGAGGCGATGTGATGTCATATGACAGCACTCACCAAACACTTAAGATTTCTGAGCTCTTCAGCCAAAACTGCTGCAGGCTCCTCATTACCAACTTGTTAAAGTGCACAGTATGGTTTGCTGTTGTTGGGATTGAGCCAGACAAAACACCGCCCTCTAGTGACCAGCACCCCTCACAACGCGCACTCTGCTTCACTTCAAATTAAAGTTGACAAGAAGAAGAGCCTTCTTGGTTGTATCTGTCACAAGTGAGAGATGCTGGAGCCACTCGCCCTTAACCACAAATTTCCTCTGAAGACAATAGAGATACGACTAAGCATTTTTTCCTTTCTGTCAGTGCATGTTCTCCCCATTATCACCACTTTAAGAAACCACAGTCTACAAGGCAAGGGTAGATAAGACGCAAAAGACAAAACAGCTGACCATGGTATGCTGACATTAAAGAGAAGGGTCAATAAAATATCTGAATGAAATCTACCTGCCGGCCAAATCTGAAGAAAATACGATTTAATGGGAAGAACAGATGGACGTTCAGAGACACATGACTGGGGCAATAGATTTGAGGGAAGGAAAAGGAGAACCCTAAAGAATGTAAAGGAATATAAAGCTTTCGCTCTTGTAAAAAGGTTAAATCATTTCAAAAGTTAAAAGAATGTTTGGCTGTAGATTATCAGCTATATGGATCAAATTTGAACGAAGCCTGAGGACATTGGCAAGTATAGGTTTATCCAGAGAAAAAAACTGAAGAAAAACTGCCATCTTTCTCACTCAATTGAAAGCCCCATTTGGGACTTTGGTTCAACTGCATCCCAGCCTAAAGTAACCGCAGTGGGCCGAGGAGCAAGTCCAAGGACCCCCTGCAGCTCAGTGTGAGGCCAACAGACAGAGTGACAGGCTCCTCTTACAGGGAAGGCTTTGTGTGCTCAGGTGGGGCAGTGATGCGGAGTATTAGAGGCATTGGGATAATATAATCATGTTTTTTTGGAGAATTAAGTTCCATCTTTAGCAGTGAAAAAGCAAGCTTCTTCTAGAAAAACAGGGATTAAAGAGGTCTACACATTCACAAAACCCAATAGAACAGTTTCAGCCAAGTTTAGGGACAGCTCTTATAGTTAAAACCCCCCCAAAAAAAACGTATTGAGCTGGTGCACCTACATTTCAAACCACAAAAAAAGGTTAATAAAAAAAATAAAATCCATAGCAATCGTAACAGTTGGGTTCCATCACAAATACGCATGTCTTTTGGTCTCTGAAAAAATTGGACATGCAACAGACAAAAAAAAAAAAAAACCTGACCCTGGTCCCAGCTCCCAGCCCAAAGTGTCAAATTTTTGAACAACTACGCACATTATTACATGTTTTCTATAGAGATAAAGATAAGCATTTTGTGGTCTGATGTGTTCACAATAATTTACTGTAACAAGACTCTTTCAGTAAGGACAAAAAAATATTTATGAAGGGTACGCTAGATTTAAATGATCCATACGAGAGAAGAATTCACTGTAGAAATAGCCACGTACCAATACTCAAGATTAAAAAATAATACTAAAAGCATTTTCAATATCTTATTTGCTTAAATGTCATCAACGCATTGGGTCAGAACGGATGCTTTTGGTCTGAGAAGCTTAAGTTCAAATGAAGAGGAAATAAAAAGTGGAATGTGACCCTAAGCAGCTCTGTGTTGTTTTACATTTCTATACTTCCCTCTAACTCGATGAGAAGCAGAAAGCCACAAGTTCTTTACCATGTACCTCACTCACCAACCATTCCCCCACACAGCTGCCAAGAAGCAGTCTATACACTTTCCAACGGAGGAACGCCACGGTCCAACATGAAGCAGAGGACTTAGCGCCAGAATGTGACCTTTACGTGTCCATACGCAACTATACCGTCATTCAGGACGAGGTTCAGACTGAAATACTGTTACAGATTTATAATGTTTATAGAAGGCACCAGAAAGTCTCACAGAGTTGGGTTTAATGTAAAGGAGGGAGCTGAGAAAAAAACAGGCAAAGAAAGTAGAAGATCTGAGTACTTTACAATCCAAACGTCTTGATTTGTGGCTGAAAGTGATAAATATGAAAACTATAAAACACATTCATTTACATGTGTGAGTAAGTAACTAGGTCAGATTTGGTATGAAATTATGAATCAAGCGAATTCATTTTCGGCGGCTTATTTTTTCTAATTATCCAAACCATGTGAATCTGCACTTGTTTCACACAGAGCCATTTTTGTGTTCAAAGCAACATTCTCCTTTTTTTTAGTTGAAAAAATAAAATAAAACTAATTTCTTTTAACTTGGAATCATTCTTTATTTTCTAAAACCTATTCAATACATTTAGAGATGTTTAAAATGTTCATGATCTTATTTTGTAACTGTTTGTATTCTATTTCAGTATGATGTATTTTTTCTGCTTTAACGTCTAAAACTTGACCTTCACCATGGGCGAAAAAACGTTAAATTAACATTATACTGTTGACATAACGATTACCACAGTAACCGATAGCACCAGTAGGGCTAATATTATTAAAATAAGGATGTTTAGATTGAGCACAAACTCATGATCATGTGGTTCAGAAGCACCACTTACTGCAACTTAACACAACATTCAAAAAGTGAGTATTTTGGTGAAAGTCTGAAAGTGTGTGTTACCTATATGCATGACGCGTCCGAACACAGAGGAGTTGTCCACGGTGCTGCAGTTCCAGCGCCGGTGCCTGAACTGGTACTGGCACTCCCGGATGCCCGTCTTGGCGCCCTCCCCGATGTACTGCATGTGGTCCTGGTAGAGCTGGCACAGCTTCTTCTGGCCCTGGGACAGGCCCACCAGCTGGCTGCACAGAGGCTGCGCCCCGATGATGTAGGCCTCGGGAATGAGGAGGGGGTTCATGGCCAAAGACCTGAGAGGGAAGCACATAATGGATGTGACTTTCAACATGTTCAAAGTTCTTATTCTCGTGCTCTTTGTCACTTTTGGAAGAATTTGATTTTTTTGCCATATTCATAAGATTTTGACATATTGATATCACACACTTTTCACCTCAATAAAGTCGGGAAAAGGGAAAACTCACAAAGGCTGTAGAATAGAATAGAACTTTATTTAATTCATCAATTCACTTTAAGAAATGAATCTTGGCTCACAAACACACAGTGCATCTCTGTTGTACAATATTAATAAAAACAATACCAAATCAGACGTTCTTATAAAACACAGCATGTAATTGTATTGAGTAGAGGGGATGAAAGACTTTTTGCAAATGGAATAAACTAAAGAAATTCTTGGTCGACTAATCAGGCCCTGTCCGTCACGTAGTCGACTGTAAAGGGGGCGTGGCAAATTCTCCAAATATGAATACATAACTGACCCAAACTTACTCACAAAACATGACATTTTGATGGAAATAAAAACCACTATCTAGGAATAAAAACGCTGAAAACCAAATGCTATTAATGCGAATACAATATTAAATATGTGAACGGAGAGTTTGCGCTGCTATCAAAGTCAATTGCTGTTTTCACATAGAAATTCAAGTTGAATTATTTGTCAATTTGTCAATACACAGTTCGGTCAACTAAGGACACATAAGTTGAATAATTGGACAAAAGATTGACATCCCCTGAAACATAATTCTACATAAAGCTCCCATAAGCATAAAAACCTTTAAGTCTATTCACCAAGGCCTGGGAAAATGTTCCAAACTAAAATCTAAAAGTGAGGGACTGAGCTGGTCCCGAGGTCAAACTGAAAAGAATGCATTAAGGTCCAAACTCTGCCATTCCACCTACTAAGCATTCCTAATGTTTCTCAAAAGGTAAATGTCAAATGGGAAAACATGTTTTATCAAATTGTAATGAAAGTACGTTATGTGATCATGAGAAGTGGCCGTCGTGCGGCAGGGGACTACAAAGACATACAAAAGCTACATTTTTGACTGACTCATTGAAGAGACGCACTCATTTCACCATCTGGTTCCAGGCCACAGGACAATTAGAGCGGCCCATCCCCGAGCCCCAAGAGAGACTCAATTAGCCCCCAGTGAAACCCGATCGACTGGGGGAACTCAGCAGCAGCAGCACGGGAACGCAAAACCAACACACACAACGTATGCACTCACCAAAGGCAGAAAAATAAAACAACACGCAGGTCTGTTTGTGTGCGCTGCTGCTAAACTAAATCATTTACACCTGTGTCCCCGTCCAAACCGGAAACGGCCTCACAACCCGACCGCACACGTCCCGCTGCAGGCCGCCACCTCAGCCGACTTATGGACGCAAGGCTTGTCCCAAACCGAGGATGGATGCTAAAGTTTGGAATTGTTCAGGACAAATGTAGATGTCAGCACTATCACATACTGCGATAACGCTCTCGTATGTCTTTACTGAGATGCTGATTTTTCAATTTTACAATAGTTTTGACTTATCTTGGTCAAGGTCAAGACCAGTTTGAACCAGAATTTGAATATGAAATTCTACATATGCTCCCTGGGTAAAAGGTTCATTGGAATCATAATATTCAGCATTTTAATGGTGCTCATTTAAGAATTACAAAGTGATAAGCATAAGTCATTTCTGCTCAATGATAGAGTGAGAGACTCCAGCTCTGAGGCTATCAGACTCTATGCTGTTTAAGTGGCTCTTACGGCGAGTGCACAAAAAGCACAGACCTCCTCCCTGAACAATACCAGAAACTGAACTATATATATGTTTTATTCACACACAGGCAGTGACTGCATTGGCACATATTTGGAACATGACTCACACTGTGTTTTCTATAATTTTCATAATTTGGGCTTGGCCAAGCAAGAACAGAGAAAGTCTGAGTGTGCCTTCGACTGCACAGATGGAGCCAGCTCAGGGATTCAAACACAGTCTGATTGAAAAAGGTCTCATGGAACTAATGAAGGGTGCATAACGGCATACGTACCACCACGAGTTGGCCTCCACCACCACCTGCATGAGGAGTGTGAGGATGGAGAGTGCAAACACACAGTGCCTGGAGTCCAGCGTGGCGGAGCCGAACGGCCAGCAGAGTGACCGGCACACACAGCGCAGGTTCATGATGATCTGAGAAGCAAACAGCATGTGTGCGTTAAAGACTGCAGTGTCCAGGCCTTTTGGGCAAAAGGCAATAATGAGTCCAAATACAGACAGAGCAGGTTGCCTTGATGCACACTCACAGAAATATGCTGGAACTCGACACGTTACATTTTAAATTAATGCCAAATATGACTGAAGACAACTCTACAATGTACACACATTGTGTAATATATAATTACCATCGTATTAGAATAAAGAACTATAATGAATCATGAAATGGTCTGGTGACAGTAAAAACAGAAAACTCTGAACGTTCAAATTAAAGGCCTATGATCCATAAAATGTGCAGTAAAAGCTTGTCACTCACAGCAGCACATTAGTGTTGTGTTGGAGGCGTCATAAATCCACATGTACTGTGTGCCAGAGCTGAGCGCGACTCCACTGTGAGGCTGATTAAACACGCGCCAAGTTCATCATCACTGACACGCGCACGCGCTTACCCACGCGTGCGCGCACAGGCCCGCAGTTTATTTGTTTTAGATTTCTCGTTTGATTGTGCATTTGACAACTTTAAAACTAAAACAAATATACCAGTATTTTCAACGAACGACTCAGCGAAAATCCGAATCCAAAATGTACGCATGAGTCTGACTGCAGTGTAAAGGCTGTAGGCCTTTATTTCTAATATTCTCAAACAAACAAGAAAGAAACAAATACAGTTCGTAATATGCACTATAATTGGTATTAATATTTAAATCAATTATTTAAATAGGATTGAGGTCACTATTGGAGCACTCTTTCCTTTGTTTCACAAATGCAAAGAGGCTGTATGGCAAATCATTCATTTAGTACAATTTGTTTTGGTTTTTTTTCGTGAATAATAATACGCCATATGCCACTTCTGTCTAATATAGTAAAGGCCTATAGAACCTTTTTTGTCTTTACTTTCTTCTTGAAGCATTCTTCAATTCAATTTAAATTTGTAAGTGGAGCAGCCCTGACCTAATATAAAAGACTGAGGCTCACGGTAAGAGCAATATTAAGATTAAAGTTATTTAAACAATGCCCTACAAGAAAGCTCAGAGCGTCGTGCGCGCTCGCTGCGTGAGCGTCAGAAGCCAGGAGAGGGAGCCAGGTGCACGAGTTCATCAGGAGAACAGCGTTAAAGTGACTTTTCACTACGTAAACCATAAACATCGTACGCTATTTATATTAGTTCTCAATTGTGCATCAGGCAGAGAGAGCAACTTTCAGTAATCCTCATCCATTCTGCGTATCAATGGAAAACTGCATTCTAATCTGTCAAAAGACTTAATTTACTGGCACCTCTGTGGGACCCCGCTATCAGTGCAGCGGGGTCCAACTAACACAGTTAATTTTGGGGGAAAACACAGCACACTGAAGGGTCAGGGGGGTGACAGAAGTGTAAGCACTCACCGTGTACAACACCGCCTGTTAAAGGATGAATCGCCTCCACACACTAATCCCTGCGCACACCAGTCCAGACCACTTTTAAATTCCCTTTTTGAAAACTCGCCGCTTTCCACGTAAAGTCTTCAAGAAATATAACGTCGCAATTTGATGTGCTTCTTGACAATACAGTCTCTCAGTGAAATGTCAAGTTTTTACAATGGATTGATTCCCCCACCTTTTAGAACAACATCATTTAAAATAAACAGCAATAAAATAACTATCGAACGCCAATTGCCAAGGTGTCCCAAGAAACTCTGCAATGTCTTGGAAGGAAAAGGGAAAAAAAACACCCAGTTGAGTTAGACTTTGAGGCGCATGTAAAAAAGTTACATCCAGTGAGTCAGTCCGCTCTTGTGGCACTATTACCTGAACAATCCACACCGTGATCCTCTCCGCAAACGACTTGTCAATCCTCTCTCCATTCTGGGCCAAGACGACAACAGAAACTAGCCGTGACAGCTCCTTTGGTGGTAGTAGTATCCAGTGGGCAAAAAAACAAAAAACAAAAAAACCAATCACGGCTAAGCTCCCGGGCAGTTACGTTACGATGCGGGATCCCCAAACTTGTTCTGGTCTCTGCGGGTGCGCGCTGGTCAACGTGCGCCTGGGCAGCTGCGTCCTGCGTCTGTCTGTCTGTGCACGTCTGTGTACGTCTGTGTGTGTGGAAGAGAAAGATCAGCGTCTGTGCTCCTCGTCTCTATCCCTCCTGTCTTCACCTGCTGCTGTCGCCTCCCCACACAAACTATATCCGACTGGAGCAGCGTGGAAAGCCCTCACACTGTGGCGCATGCGCTCTTCCACATCTTCTTCATCTTCCCGTCCAGCCCAGGCACCACCACCACCACCAACATTTCAGGAACCAAGCAGGAATTTGAGTCTAGGTGAAAACTTTGGGGAGGGTGGTTTGGGAGGGGAGGGGTGAGCGGAACAGGCTGTAACAAAACAAGCGTCTCTATTACCTAAAATAAACTTATAAAGCACTCCGGGCTATTACCCTATCCATACTAGAGGAGAGACTTAGGGTCTGGCAGATCAAGTTTCTGTGAGGTAAAAAAGAAAAAAAAGAAGAACAAAATTACACAGGGCGCTCTCATCACCTGAAAGCCTGGGGCATTACAGCCATTAAGGCCATTATTATTTTATGACAGGTTATCTCAAAGCAGAGGGCTGATTTTAAAATAGTGTTGCAAGTGCCAATGAAGCAGGCGCTATTCAAGATTATGCTTTATTTAGTTTATTTTAGACTCAGACATAGTCTTATCTATGTGCATGCTGTGAACCCTCAGGCTTTAGCTGTATGCTATAGGAATTACCATAGGCAACGGGTGACCAGATAAAAAAAAAAATAACAGTATATGGAATTTTGAAAAAAAAAAAAAATATATATTATTATTTTTTGAATAATTATTACTTTGCACATTGCACAATGTTTTTTTTTTTTTTGCCAAACAATCTCTATGTCTCTCTTTCAATTGATTTGAATGAAACATATTATTTTCAAGCTGTGGATAGAGCAGTTCAGGAAACTCATTTTATTGTATCTACATCATATTCAAGTTTGAAATAAATATTTACTTTTACATCTACTCTGACATGGGATACAGGGCTCAACACTGGGGCACTTTTTCTGTATATGACAGTTTCCACTTTACCTTTCAAAAACACAGACAACAGTAATCATATATATAAAAAAAATGCTTAAGATTTTCCAAATTTGGCCATTATTAAAAAAAGAAAAAAGATCTGTGTATTTGTATCATGTAATTGTACTTCCTGGTTGTAAATGATGACATCACCAGAGGTATACTGGGCAAAAACTCACAACAAAAACTATGTGGCTAATACAAATTACAAGAAGATTGGTTTAGTGAACTGAATCATAGTGTTAAAAGTATGTTAACTTTATGATCAACTGTGACTTGCCCTTTTGTGAGGTCTTCAGTTCTAATTGCACTACTTCAACATTTTATTACATTTCCCAAACTGTAAAACTATTGATTAATCTCTCTTCCATCAGAGAGACACAATTATAATCTTTTTTTAAAAGTCATGGCCTGTTTAGTCTCAGATGAGTACATGTTGTACCTATGTGTAATTTCATAGTGCAGCGTTTGAGAGCTACACACACGCACACACACCCACACAGTGATACAGTACATTTTTGTTGTTTAGGCGAGACAGAGGTCAAAGTACTCAATAGTTCCACTAATTACTTCCAATTTCACATGAGCTGAGGAAGTTGGGGTTCAAATAACAGCAGGAAAACCAATAGTAAAAAGAATGGAAGCAGCATTAACCTGGGTATTCTGTGTGCGCTGGTAATTGGATGAGGATGGAATAAAAATGGTTTGATTCCAGTGTAATGTGTGAGTTAAGAGGTCGGGCCTCATATAAAAAAATTGCATGTAAGAATAACTGAACCACTCCTTCACCAATGAGCTGTAGTTCCTAATCTTTTTGTTTCATAAATAATCAATTTTCTTATTTGTGAAAGTGAAAGGCTGTGACCATTTGAGACCACAACATGAACTTTCTCTTATTAGGACGTATTTTATGTTTAGCATACTAGCAAGAAAGGGCCCTGTGAATCAAAATGTAACTCTTTGGGCTCACCTGAGTGAGGGTGTCTTCTCTTTACCTTTTCTCTCTGAGAAAGCTGATCTAAAGCTGTGACAAAGGCCAAAAATGAATGCCTGAGAAAACTAATGATAGAACCAAACTTTTTTGAGAGCGAGGAACTGAATACATGGATTTTATTGCATAGTTCTATTTTGAAAGTTCGATGATTGTATAGGAAAGAGATACGTCTAAAGTAGAACGGCCCATACAGTTCCCGAACCACAGTGTGAGAACCAGTCCTAGTTGTGAAAGCATAGAGTATCCTTGAAAACATGCTACAACCATGTGATCCCTGCAGTCATTTGCCATGCCTGGATTCCCCTCCTTCCACTCGCCCTCACGCCCCTGTTCCCTTAGGAAGAAAAGCGGGCAACATCTGGCTGAGTTTATGAGAGACTAAGAAGGAGAGAGAATTGGTAGACCATGAAAACTGGGAGCAGGAATTTACTCTTGGTGCGGCGTATTGTTAAAGCTTCAATAAGCAACAGTGCAAATGTTCAACTCATATCAGCTCTTTACGTTGGACATCCCTGCAAAACAATCGATTTCTGTTTGTGGAGAAAATGTAGAAGTGCCCCTCAAAATACAGTAATTGTGAGTTCAGGAATCTAAATGTAAAATGGGGAAAAATCACAGTCAAATTGTTGAAGTGTCATGAAAGCAATTTTAATCCAAAAAGAGAAGAAAAACAACTCAAGTACATTTGAACCCAAATCTGTCTGACCAATAAAATGTACAAAACTGCATATTAGATGCGTTGAACGTACTGCAACAGAAAACATGTTGATGAAGTCCCATAGTCATCAGTCATCCATGGTATTAGGTTCCAATTTCAAAAGTAGTCCTTGGGTCCCTGCAATTTTACATCCAACAGGCTTCATCTTTTGACAAAACTATACCTTGTTTGAACTAACTTTTGGAAGGTTAATCCGCAGCAACCAGGACTAGTTTTATTGACCACTTGATAATTAGGCTGTTTCATGCACAATTCAGAATCAACCATGTACTCAATGGTTGTGTTGAACTGAAGCACACTGACCTATTTCATACCAACTGCTCCATTATTGACACAACTCATGATCCACAGTTGTTGTGAAATCCTTCTAAACAGTTATCAACCATCATGGATTAGTATTGTCAAACTTGCTAAAATCCTGGATAACGAAAGCAGCTGTATTGTCATTCGAGAGGACGTACAGTCATGACTCACCTATCCGCAAAGTACGTCATAAACAGCCGCACCAGCTTCGACGTTTGTGACACATCAAACCGATTTGGAGCGAGGAAACCCAAACAGAACATGATATCAGTGGATTAAACAAACACGGCAGGCGAAAAGAAATGAAGGAGAGTCTAACAAACAATGTGTCCTTTCAGAAAGCTGCTTGATTGAAAGTCCATTTTTCTGTTGGTTAATAATAGTTTGTAGGCATGATGGAGGCGTATCCTCCCACACATCCATTGGTTGTAGTCCTTGAGAAGAAAGCATCTGATTGGCAAAGAAATGAGCAACTGTGGTGTACACTGGGATTATGGAAGATTCAGATATGTCCCACTAAACTGTTTCATCTAGCAAGGGACGGCACATTTCCTTTGGCACGGCACGTCAAGAAAATTAATGTCTCATGATGAAGGATGGAACTCCTTGTATTTACAGAAGTCTGGTATTTAGTTGCACTTGTAAACACTCCATAAGGACATGGCTAGCTCTGCCGGGTCACACGAGCCACAAACCAGCTCCAGCGGAGTGCGTCGGATACCTTGAAACCAGGCGCAGATTTGAACAAACATTGACGTGGAATGCACTTCAGTCTACCATAACACTGGTCTTCAAGGCCTTGTTGAGGTCATGACTTTCTGTGCTTCTGTAGAAAAACTGAATATTCATTTGTGTGTCAACCTGGAAAACAGAAAGAAAAGAATTATTGCATGTACATTCTGTGATTGGGTTATCCACAATAAAACATTAAAGCTGGTGTACCTAACTTTCAAATCGCAATAAATGGATCTAATGTGCAACTAGTTTGGTTCTATGAGTAGTCTTCACAAACCTGTATTTTTGTCTGTGTCACATCTTTAGATCATGTTTTTTCAGACAGAGAAGTGCAAAGAGGACCACCCTCACTCAGCCAATCAGCTCGCGACTCTAAGCCTCCAATAGTGACTCACAGGGTCCCTTTGGCTAAATATGCAAAAGATGACTATACGTTCTTTCTTATTAGATAAATACAGAATGTTGTGGTCTGATGTTTACATTTTTCATTGCAACATTTTACAAGACTGTGCAGACGAGGACAAAATGTGTTATTCATGTATAAAAAAGCCCAGTTTTTATGTTTTGGTTCATGTGTTGGTTGTTTTTGAAACTGGCACTACCATTACATACTTTGGCTCTTATCTCCATAATGTGCAGTCTTATCTGGTTTGATTATTATAATATAACTATGTCCATGCATTGATTGATTGCTTTATTGTTAAAAAATGCTAATGTGTATTCTTGAATCCTTATATCAACAAGCCAGACTTGCTGAATTAAGCCTATCTTTTCTTATACACACACAATTGGGTTACGGTTCATATATGGCTTTAAATTGGCAACTAATTCTAACCTTTACTGAATGGATTAAATTCACATAAAAACATCTAAATTGAACAGTTATCGCCTCGTCATGTTGTGTCAGTTCTTCAAGGGTTTTAAAGGAAAGGTTCACACAACACACTTAGCTCTATAGTGTTGATGTCTTGCTTATTTTGCAGCTTTAGCTTGACCATTTTTTTCCTCCCCCGTTTGGCAACTTTCCAGAGCTTCTTAAGAATGCTCTAAATGCAGTTGGCTGTAGCCCAAACATCAAGTGCTCATTAATTTGAAGGAAAAAAAGAAGGAAAAATGTTGGTGAATGTGTCTGTCTAAAAGTCAGACTCCATGCAGCAGTCAGTAACAGCTTAGTCCTGTCCTGGGGCTAGGTAGTGAAAATACAATGATGTATGTCTAGAACGCTGGGGGCGCCTCATTGGCTGAGCAAACAGTCCCCAAAATAACGACCAATCATCAAAGACGTTATCATCAGTCACAAGGGGAGCTTCTAGTTCTGGAAACACTACTATGTTGGGGGCCACATTTGCAGGTTAAGTCTGAAATGAAGAAAAAATAACTCTTTTCTGTTTTGTACAAGTAAAAGAGTTTTTTCACAAGTAAAAACAACACATCAGACAACACCATGCTGTCTTCATC